TATAAAAAAAACACGCGTGCGATGGCCATTAACACATAATCATCGCCCGAGGCGGCGAAGGAAAATCAAATGGCGGTCAGCGGGCAGTAAAAGCCGAAGGACCTTCATTAAACTGCCAGCAGGGCCAGCCATGTGTGTCCTGGCGAGTGTCCTTCGCATCAAGGATGTACCCGCATTCGCACTCGCATCCGCATCCGTATCCGCATCCGTATCCGCATCAGTAGATGTATATGTATCCGCAAACGTATGCGTATATCCTATACATCCGTGTGCCTGCTTTTGGTGGCCGTCGTGTAATCGCAAATAATCATCCACTTAACGTCGTGAAACTTTATGCCGGAGATGGCCCGGGACGGCCGTTCTAATCCGGAGCCATCTGCCTTCCCTTCCCCCCTGCTTCCCCCCCTTCTTGTTGTGAAGTCAGCACAAAGTGCCCGGGACTTGCAAACGGACTCGGACAGTGGCAGTCATAATACGCTTTATTATATGCTCTCTCTGGCAATCCAGCCCATGCAAACGGTTTGTTTGTGCACTGGGAGAAAAGAACTACTCAAAGATATCAAAAATAATAATAACAATAATGATAATAAAAATAATAGGTATTGTGACGACAAATAGAAAAACAGAAGCCATTTTAATCATGAAATAAAAAAGGATAAAGTGACATAAACTAGAAGTTGTATTGAAAATATAAAAAAGAAATATTTTTTACAAAATATAAAGTATATATTAGTATAAGTTTACATATATAAAGTATATAGAATATACTTCTGTTTTGAAAGTAATAAAATACACAACAAATAATATATTTTCTAGCGCTACAAGTATAAACCTATTACAAATTTGACAACTTAATCCGAAATTTCCTTAACGAAAAGTTATGTTTTCTGTCCGTGCATTGCCACAAAAGACCTGAACGGGCAAAAAGCCGCCAAAGGAGTGGTTTGCTGGCTGTGTATCTCTGCTCCTGACAAGTGAAACGGGTAGCTGCGGACCTGGGAAGCTGGGTCCGTGTATTTTTAGAGCCGCCCAAACAATCCCAAGCAATCACATCACATCAAACGTGAATCCAAGGGCGGACAGAGCCAGGAAAAAAAAATAAGGATAAGTCCGTGCCCCTTAAAGGCGGCCTTAAATTCCCGCTTTTGGCCGTAAAAAGAGAACGGGATCGCGAGAGGAAGTGAAGCCATTTCTGGCGCATCCTGGCCAACGGCGAACATCCTGTGCCGACCCGCCAGAAATTGTAAATTTTCGCTGCTCGACAAACAAAAGCGCAGCAGGATGTGCAAGCCAAACAGTTGCTGAATTGTATTGTCAGTGGATGTGGATGTGGATGTGACTTCTAGGTTTTTAGAGGGCGTAACTCCGCCCTTCGCCCGATCTCCGGCTAATGCCTTTAACTGGTTCGCCTGGCGGTGGCTCAATAGATTCTTTTTTTTTTTTGGGGGGCCAAGCTGGGGGAACCAACAAGGAATGACCAACAAATCAAATGGCGGAAAACTTTTATTTTGCAAAAGTTCTGCTCATGCTTCCGTCGGATGCTTCTTGGCCAGGCCAGCGCGACCATCTTGGGTCCCATAAATAAGGCAGCAAATTGCATGCTTCGCTGCCCCCTTAAAAAGGGGGGAGGAGGTAAAAGGGGTGGGGAGTGGGTGGTGGGTGGTGGTTGGTGGGGCATGGTTAGTGGGCTAGCAAATTGATGGCTTTGTAGAAGTTGTGGTAAATTTGCTGGCCCTTTTGAGCGGTTTTCTGTCCGCCACTTGTTTCCTTGAACTCTGACCAGCAAATTGTATTTATGCGTTAATTATTTCATTAACGCCCCATTGAGTAACGCCTCCTTGGGTCAGGGGTCACCTCCTCCATCCTCTATCCTCCATCCACCCCCCTCTCAAATTATTCCAGCCTATTGCATTCAAGTGATTTTGATTCTTGGCCGTGGGGGAAAGTGGGGGGGGGCGTGGCCTGGCCTCCCGCCCCTTTGGGGGCAATGTTGTGCAATCGAATGGAAACGGAATGTTAGGTCCTCGTCGAATGGCCTCATTAGTGGACAGTCGGGCCGGGGAATCCCATGAGCCGTGTCCAAATGTATTTTAATTAAATGCATTCAATTGGAGGACGGGAATGGGAACGAACGAACGAACGATTGCCTCCCGAGATCAGCTTTCCTCGAAGCAATCGGAATGTATTGAATGCCAGTAGACACTTTAATTAACTCACCGGACAGGTGAAATGGGCCATTCATTTACAAGCGAATTCTTCAAACTTTCATTTTCTGAAGTGTAGTTTTGATATTACTGAATTTGAAGTGCTCTTCTGAATCGTTATGATGAATTAAATATAATTTACAAACCAATATAGACCCATCTTTAAATTTAAAAGTAGGGAATCATATATTCAACTGTATAACCCATATAAATATCCCTAAATAAACACCCAGCGAGTGCTTTATTTACTACCATCCCCTCATCCAGATAATGATAACGCACAATTTCGGTCATTAAGAAGCTCCCCATCTCCCTTACATTCTCCCATTGAAATAAGGTCTTTAAGAAGCAACTGGGATTCTTTCTTTGGGGACAGGTAAAAATAAGCTGAACATCAGGTGCAGGAAAATAAAAGAGCGGGTAAGAATGCGAGAAAAGTGAAACGCCAACATGAGCAGCTCATAAAAACTCAACAAGGCGAAATGTTTAGGTTTAAGTGGGCGTTCTTATAGAAGGGGGCGTGGCTGGTTGGCTGGCTGACTGGATGGCTGGCTGACTGAAGGGATGGCTTACCGGAATGAGTCCTGCCTGCATGCCGTGGCATGCCCTGCCTGCATTTGGCTAATCCACAAGTTTAGCACAACAAAGGCAAAAGGCGAATGGCGAAAGGCGAAAGGCGAAGGAAGGCAGAGCTCAAGGTCCTTGCGACTACGATGACTTAGAGTGGAAATGGTTGAGGATGAGAATGGGGAAGGCGATGGGGACGAGGGGCTGGGACTGCTCCAAGTGGATGCGGGACGACGACTACTTGACAGTCTTGGCTCGGCTTTGTTTCTGTGGCCCCAAGCCACCCTGCATCACCCTGGAAAACCCTGCACCACCCTAGGACACCCTAGACCACCCTAGACCACCCTAGACCACCCTTCACCACCCTTAAAAAAAGAAACAACAAGAAATAAACACCCTGCTCGAGCCAAAAGCAAACGATGGCTGCATCTTAAATTGTCTTCCTTCAATTTAGATTTCTTGGCAGTCTGGGAGCTCGGAATATAGAATTCCGAATTCAGAATTCAGAACTGAGAATTGAGAATTCAGAACTGTGAACATCCAGCAGCTCTGACCTGCTCGCATATGTAAATTGATGGCTTTGTTTGTCTTTCGGGCTCAGCTTGAAATTCGTAAATCCGTTGAAAATCCTTTTTAACTTTTAATGATGGGGGGCCGCAGCACTGTGCCGAAAAAGTGGGCCAATGTTTTCCCATGGGATTTGCGTAAAGTATCTGCTAAAAGCTTTCCCCATTCCGTTTGCCTGTCGCCGTTATTTGGCCAAAAAGGCAGCGCTAACCGCATCGACATCGACATCCTTCCTTTCCTCCCCCACCCACTTTTCCCTCCCCCTTCATTTCACCCAGGAGTCAACATCAATTTCGTTTTCATCAATTTCGGTCTGGGAAAATGGTGGAAATGGGCGGCTGCCAAGGCGTCTGCTGTATTCCAACCTCGAAAAACGAGGCCAACAGAAGCGAGAGAGAGAAAGAGAGAGAGGGAAAGAGAGCGAGACAGAAAGGGCGAAAACTTTGGTAACTTGGGAATGTTCAACTTAGTTTTCATTAATTTGTTGTTTTAGTTGCGCCACTTATAAGAAGTTGGCTTAATCTTTTGGCTCTCAGATGACTACAAATTTAACTGAGTAGTGGCGATACGAAATATCAGATCACTCTTTCTTTTCCTAATTGAAATGCTCTCTGAAATGAAATAAATTAATCCTGTTTCAGGTTTCCATCGGATTAAGATTTGATTTACCTTTTCAGGCGGTCAGAAATCGTATTGTATTATTAAAGACTAATTAAATTTATTTTTAAAAATTTCATTTTAGTAACTTCTTCGGCATTTACTTTTTTCTCTGCCATTACTTCTTAAATGCTCTCAAAAATACCAATTAATTTTATGTTCAACACAAAGCTGCAAGTGGTCTGAAAAATTAATTTACTGAGCTTCGCTTTACGTCATTCTTGATTTGTTATTACACCTTTTTGGCACTCAGAGAACATAAATTTTTAATTGGCCCGTTGCCGTGGCGCCAGTTAGGAATTCGCATCAGTAATTTGGTCTATATTTGGTTTTAGACCCAAGACAAATGCCTGCAATTATCGCAGGACAAAAGAAGGCGTATGTGGCTTTTGTACGTACACCCACACAACCGAACTCCTATTTCCGTCCGAACAAGGACACACTCACACATATACATACATTCTGAGAATCTGAAGCACGTGCGCAAATTATCTTCAAGGCGAGAGCCTGAATAAAATAACAGCTGCAAACAGACGCATAAACAAATGATGATGGCAACAGGGCTCTCTAGGCATATCCCCATCCCAACACACGGCCTAAACTCATTAATTATCGAGCAGGTCCTGAGTGGAGAACCAGAAGGAAGGATGCATGAATACACGGCATTGTGTTTGTAATCAACTTTGCCAATGAGCATCAAATATGCTTTATGTGCCTTTCGATTGTTCGACCCTAATGATGGAACGACTTAGCACGAATGATTTGCCATCAATGGCCATCTGTTTATTTATGGTTAGTGCCTTTTATTGGGCGAAAGTTTTTGAGCACCATTAATATTTGTCCATCGTTTCAGGTGGCTAACTTTACCAGTTTTCTAATCAATGTTGTGTAATAAATTAATTCTGATCTCAAAATATAATATTAATTCTTATAAGCCCTTGTAGTCTTCACAAATATACCATTATTTTGAAATTTCGAAATGGGTAGTATCATTCTAAGCATTTATTTAGTTTTTCGTCATTTCAGAGAGCAATAAACATAATTTCAAATGCCAGGTTACCAGATTTTGTATGCCTGCCGTTACTGTACCAATGTCATCAGCACCAAGTCCTTCAAGGTAAATGAGACATTCTACGATCTGCTGTTGACCAAGACCTTTAACCTCATTCAAGAGGATAAGATCATGATGACGGATGGTGATAAGTTCCAGAACCTGTTCTGCTCCAAGTGCGGAATGGAATTGGGAATGTTTTGTCTGGAGAGTCAGAGCAATGCCCAAATGACAGGACTTTCGCTGATCCAAAAGGCTCATCTGGTGGTCTACGATTCGTACGAGTTGCCCTTCGAAATGCCTTCGTCTCATGACTGATGAAGCATAAAAGAATAAAGCTAACCAGAAACAATTAACAATTTGTGTGACACTCTGGCCATGTCTGCCGTTGACGGAAAGTCCTTTGAACTCCAATGAAGCTCGAACTTGTAGCATATTTGACTTCTACACGAGCTTGTCACTTGGGAATGTTTTGGCAAGCGTTAAAATCATTTGCTCGACTTGCGACTGCCGGAGCATTAATCAAATTCAATCCCAAGGATTCCTTGGCCCGAAATCGAGCCAGACGACGACATGCGTCAGTTGGGAAGCTCTTACATCCTCAACAGTCGCCAAGAAAAGTCTGTGCCAGGCACGTGAACCAAAAAAAAAGGAAAATCAAAAATAATTTTCACTCTACGCTGTGACAGTTGGGCGCCAGTTGCAAAAAAAAAAAAAAGGAGGAACATCCTTCCCCCGGCGGAAATTAAAGTGCTCAACCCCAGCTGTCTTTAAGTCAAATACACACACACACTTACACTCGCTTTTTTTAGCGACTCAAAGGCAAAAGGTAAAGGCATTTTAATGATTTTAATTAACTGCATGTTTGGCCGTAATTACAGCGGCAACAATGCAATTACGGCACATGTACGCCAATGGGTGGCCGTAAACAACGGCAGAGGGTCAGAGGGCAAGGCCAGCTGGCAGTCTGTTTCTTGTCATCCCACTAGGCCGACTCCCCTTTTCCCCTTCCCCCTCTGAAAACCCCCCTTTACTCTCTCCCTCTGACAGGGTGACACACCTCGGATGACAGAATAATTACATGCAGAGCCACCAGGACCCTCTTTCATTTGTTTTTGCAGGCCATCCCATTCCCAGCAGGCGTTCTCCATTCCTGGAGAGCTTTCGCAGAGTAGTGCATCAAAGTATGGCAAACATGGGTGGCCCATTAGGGGGGTTTCTTTAAAGGAGGATCTTAAGACAATGTAACAGGAAAAGTCTGTAAAATCTTTAGTTACTTAGTTACTATGTAAAAATAAAAAATGGTGTATAGTAAACTTCAAGTTGGCTTCTTAAAATTTCATAGTCAGATCCACTTTTTGATTTATTTATATTTTTATATTTTATTTATATTTTATATATCACTTTTTAAAAAAAAAAAAATTTACATTCTTTTACTCCACCCGGGAGCTTAGAGCCTCTACAATTTCTTGTAGAGGATTCATTATCATAGATTTTCGATCGTACCGGTGATAAGCCAGTAGCGACTTATCCTAGCGGTGGGGTTGCCACCTGGCGCCATCTAGGAGTGACGAAAGTTCTATTGTTTGGTCCATAGTAACGTGGACGAGGGGTGTGCGGGTCCGGGGAGCCGAAATTTGTTACTAAAGTTAAGTGAGCGATAGAGCATAGAAGTGGTGGAGATTTGGAAAAAGAGATCTTTCTTTTTCTCGGGGAGCCTGGGGCTCGACTTGAACCCGGGCCTTCCGGACCGGAGGCCAGCGCTCTACCTGCTAGGCCACCGCCCCCCAACTCCCCAACCCCCAACTCACTTTTAATAAATTATATTTCTTTTATCCCTTATTTCTTAATTAATTTCCAACTGTCATAATGCACTGATAGAATTGATTGATTCCTAACATTAAATTCAATAATCCTAATCTCCACAAATTGAAAGCAGTCAGCTGTCACTTTGATCGCTTATTAAGTAGCCAATAGAGCAGTGCTGACCCCTCTGGCCGACGTCCTTGGCCTTGACACTTATTACTAATACGACATGTGGCCCCGCTGCAAGGTACAAGTGTAATTATAGCCAGCAAATGTCCTGTCGCTGTCCCTGAGTGTCACCGATGCCGGCCAATACTTGTTGCTCACCATCGGTGGGCGGAGGGGCGGCTGGAGAAAGGGAAAGAGAAAGGGGGCGTGGCCCGGCTCTATTGTGTGCTCAGTGACCGTAAATATCAAGTAATTTTCTGCAATTTTTCTACGCTGCCAATTGATTTATGGCTTGCTGCCGCCATTCCGCCTCCCGCTGCCATTCCGCCACACCCTCTTCCCCCCCCTTCCGCCCTTCCTGCCGCCCACTTTGCTTTGTTTGCAAAACAAAAGGCAAGCCAAGTGAGCGTTGTCCTTCCACAATAACAACAACGAAAACATCACCAGGAGCAGGAGCAGGAGCAGCCGTAGCAGAAGCGGGAAGGCGGCAAAGGACTTGTATGCATGTTGAGCCTGTGGCTGTCAAGTGGTCGCCAGCCGCAGTTCCCAAACAGAAAGAAAAATCTAAGTACCATTTCAAAATTTGAATAAATATTTTTACATCATTTGTTGGTATTTTAGGAATATATTATGTATATTTAAATACAAATAAGGGCAATGTTTTTTTTTTGTATTATTATTTATTGTAATTATTTCCGGAGATTGAAATCGTACCATTTTATGAAGAACTAATTTATTTCATAATATTCGTATTTTATACTCTATTAGTTCTCACTGACATATTAATTTTCTTTCAGTGGATGTTCAGAAATGTGACGCCTGTCGCCGCTGCCAGAAAAGGCATTAAGGTTTGTCAACCCACACCGTCTAAAGCTACACCACCCATCGCACACACACACACACACAGCACATCCGCCACCCACTGCTGCACTCGAAATGTGCTCGGCAGGGGGCGTGGCCATTTTCGACGTTTAACAAGAAAATTCGTTTAGTAAATTTCATTTACATTCCTGTGTCGAACAGCGAAAAGGACGAGAGTGTAGCGGACTAAAAGTAAAGGCTAAACAGCCTGAATAATTCGCCTGCGTAAGCGACATTTTTTTATTTTATGCACTGGGCCGGCACTCGATGGCCTTCGCTTCCCTCATAAAGTTGCCGGGTTTAATAAGGCATTGCGTTACTCATACGCCACGTGGTGCACAGCAAGGATTCAGTTATGCGAGCCCAATGTGGAGCCAGTGGGCGTTCACCAGCCGCTCCAACGCTCCAAAGCGATGGCCCCCTGCACTTTTCGCATGCAAATGGAGTAATTTGATTTTTTCCCGGACCTTGGCTGCAGGAATTCACTCTTTGCTGTGCGGGTGGATCCGTAGGGCGGTACGCGGGGGAAATGGAGTCCCTAATGGGTTGCCGAGCGCAGGACATGTATCACTAATCAATCGATACTTCCATCCGCAAAGTGTTTGTTGTTCCTTTGAAAGGAAAGTGGAATACATTAATTAAACTACATTTAATGTAAGCGCTGCAACTAAAGTTCTTCAAAAGTAACTACTCAATATATACAAACACATCTTATTAAATTGCTCTACTATACACCATCAAAAATTATTCAACATTGTTATTGAGAACAACATGAATAATTGCTTTACTTGTTTGAATACCTTATTTATAATTAAAGTGTATGAATGACTTATATAATTTGTATAACTTACCCTTATCCTAAATAATGCAAGCTGTTCCGAGCTGCCTTTTCCAAACCCCATCTATTATTCAACCCTAATTAATTTCGTGTATGCAGCCATTTAAATGAGCCTGGCAACCCTGTGCAGCTGGTCGGCTTTTGGCCTGAGTCAACCCTTTTGGCAGCGGATCATGTAACATGTTTATGGCCATCTAGTCAACTGCAGCCATATTTTCATCTCATTTCAGCCGTGTCCTGCGGCTGGGTGTCCCTTTCTGGTTGGCTCGTAATTTCAAACCGTTGCACTGACCGCAGGGAAAAGTGGGGAAAAGCGGGGAAAGTGGAATCCCGGCAGGCGAGGAACTATCCGCGAACCAACCGCAGGGAAACGCGATATGTTGACCTTTCGCCGGGCTCTTGGCTCCAGGCTCACTTTCCACGAAGGACATTAAAATGCATGCGGTGTCGGGGATGAAAAAAAGGAGCAAGGGATTCTGCATTCGGCTCACTTTATGTGCAGATTTTCCCTCCGCTTTCTGGATTTTATTTATGACCCCCAAGGGCAGCCACACACACACACATGCAGCTCCACCTTGGAGATTTACGACTGGAGTCTTATTAGGCATAAATTAGGAACTGACTTTCCCCTTCTTCTCTCCCTCAACTTTCTTGCTGGCAATTTCCCTTTCTGGGAAAACGAATTCGAATTTAGACACTTTGAAGTCACTCGACTTAATCGCATTTACGGCAATCAAACGTAAACACATCACCCGAAATCTTGTTGAATAATGGCAGTAACGTAAGAGAAAATATTCATTGCCCTAAGCTAAATTGAAATACCGAAGTTTGGGTGATCAACATTGTGAGTCCTGAAATGAACGAAATTTTCACGCCTCAATACCAACATTAAAGGATGGAAGGGGAACTCCTGTTATGTGAACCAATAAAGTATGCAAATCCAATTTAGCGCTCCATAAGCTTTATTAGAAGTCATGCGTTTGATGGATACACGTGTTTCCCGTCAAGTGATTGACAAACTGAAAGAATGACTGGTCGGCCTATTAATGTAACCGCTGTAGTTTAATTTACTGAGCCTGTCCATAAAGTCACACACTTGTGGCCAGTTGACTGTGAATCCATTTGGCCACAGAAATCAATCGATTGATGGTCGGATTATTGACTTTTACTTACGTCTTTTTTTCCCACAAATAGTAACCGCAACAAGTCTAAGCTGTTATGACCTAAATTGATAATCTTTAAGCCTTGGAAACTAAAGGTTAAAAAATCAACAATAAAATCTAATAGCTTGTTATATATAATTTAGTAATTTTTTATCTGCAGAGCCAAAGAATATTTATTTCATATTTTGTTGAAGTACCTTCGGGAAATATTCGCAATCAATTTAACTTGTGATGGCAGGTTGTTATAAATGGAAAATTCAATTGAAACTCTTTCATATCCCATAAAAAATCCAATTAATTCCGGTGGATCCTTTTGTGCCTGAAGGCAAATTTTTTTGGGCATCAGTCAATCAAGTTTATCCCTCCGAAATCTTCTGATTATCATACCGCCATCCATCATACGAGGGCATACGAATATAGTTGAACTCTGGTTATGGGGCTCTGCGATGTGTGTGGGATGATTTGATATATGTTTGTGTATTTGCAGGGACCGAGAGGAAACCAATTTCAGTGTTTACTTATGCATATGCCACACAATAGCTGGTGGGTGTGTGTGAAAAGGTGGCGGCCCCATCAAATGTTCTACGTGTCCTGCAGGTGCAAAGGAATAGCAGCCGCAATAACAAAGCGGAGTCGAATAAACTTTCCTCTGATGCCTCCTGATGATGATGTACGACTGAAAAGCGGGCGGGCGGGCGCTCTTTCCAGTTCAAGAAGGATGGTAGATGGAGGTTGGAGGCCTTGGGCCGGCATTATCATTCAACCCATATCCACAAACACATAGGGCACGTGACGGGCCGGATATGCGTGTGTGACTGCACAGCAAGAAATTGTCGAATAAAATATCTAAATACAAACCATACAAAACATTTATAAAAATCAA